TATAGCAGCAGCCATCTGGTCCCTCAGCAACATGCATACTTCTGGGCTTCTCATAACATTGTTTGGATACCGTAGTATCTACTGTAGTGCAGTGATTGCTGGCGATGTGATGAGAAACTGGTGTGACTGTGGCCTCACAAGAGTAGTCTAAAGAAAGTAGCTCACTGAACAACTTTGTTGTTAGTTAAAATTCCTGTTAAGTATTTTAAGATTAGAGCCATTTGATGCAAATCCCTTCAGTTGCAAAGAAGAGGACATTCAATGGCAAATCAAGTCCTAAGTGATGCAGAGATTTTATGCTGTCCGTTTGCAAGTAATGAGCTTGGTTCATTGCATATGTCTGGTAATTTCTACCAGAATAGGTGACAAAGTGAGCTAATATCTTTGCTCACACACAAACTGTTGAAAGTATTTTTCAAGTCAGAAAACAACTGATTAGTTGAATTAGTTGAACCTTGGGAGTCAGGAGACCTGATTTAACATTCTACTGCACCTTAAGCTTTTGGAGTTACCATAGGCAAGCATTTAAAACATGGCTTTCCTGCAGACTGCAGTGAGGCATCAAGGTCTGCTAGTTAGTTTTTAATGAGCTAGCTTGGAAGCAATCTGTGGCAGTATTCAGTTAACTTATCCTCAGCTTCATTTCCAGTTCATCCATTAATTTAACATGTATGTGGCAGTTGGATTTCAGGGTGTTTCATGAAGTTCAGCAGGGATCAAATATAATCTAGCACCCTGATCAATCATATGAAATAAATTTAGCATTAAATGACATAATGGTCATCTCAAGTTAGATGTTAATTGTCTAACCATAAGGACTCAATTGACTTTGTAAAGTAGGACAGATGGGCTTTAGTGCTGAAGATGAAGGTCAAAATAGCTAGCAAGGAGCCCCAAGAGGCCATATTTGGAACACAATTCATCTCACCTAACTTTAGAGATCCCCAACCCTAATTACCTTTATAGTTGGTGGAGAGTTTAATGCCTTTTGGAGAGTGATTCATCTAAGTTATTTGAGGTATCACCTTGATGAGGTAGATTGCTTGGTAGAAAGGCATCTAGCTGAGATGGGAACCTAGAAGCAGGTGAATGCAACCTTGGAGTCTTTCCAGTAAGTGACCTTCCATATTTATAGATTGAATTAGTGTATCTGTACTACAGCTTACAGATAAGAGAAGAAACACTCTTTCCTAACTCTGCTTTAGCTCCCTGCCATGTCCTAGACATAATACCTTTGAGAAGCTTTAGAAAGACAAGGTGGAGGTCTGACCTCTTATCAGACCAACAGGTGTAGCTGGGGAAATGATAAAAGCTTTCAAGCCCTTCTTGAAGATATTAATATGCATGGATGGTATGTTAACAGAAACCTTTCAGCATCTTACACGAAATAGGTGAACTTTATTTCAGTGAAACAGCTGAGCTCAGAAGTGTCAGTTGTGAGAAAAATCTTGTTGACATTTGCATTTTATTAGTGAGGATACTGTCAAATGAAGACTATGAAATGTCATATTGTTAAACTCAGCATAATCGATATCAGAATTTTATAGTATTGGAAGGCAGGAGGGTTTTTACCTGTACTTTGTGTACAGCGTTCTTAGGTTTATTAGCATTGATGTTTCGACCTGAGGAGAAACTAAAACGCTTCATTGCTCACCGAAGAGGATGAAGTGTGAGCAAAAAGCCACGAGAGGGGGCTGTTGGAAGCAGTAAAGCTGTCGGGTTTCTCCTTTATTAAACAGCGTGTTACTTTTAAAAGGCACTCAGCGAAAGAATGTTAAACTTTCAAAGGCTCACAGAGTCTTTAAAATAAAGTTTCTTCTGGGAGGGAACTCGCCGGAAAAGTTAGAGATGGCTTTTGAAAAATAATAATAATAAAAAACAAACCACCACAAAGAAAAACCCGAGGGAAGCATATTTCAGAAGTTTTGTCTATTAAAAATGAAATCTTCAGTAGATACCACAATGCCTATAATTTTAAGGTAAGGTGCCAAGTGTTTTAATTTTTGCTTCCTTTATATTTATTTCAAGTAGTAAACCACATTATGTAATATAGATACAATGCCATTTTGCTGCTGAATATGAACATAGGAGCATACAAGGGGACAGACCTGCTTAGATCGTTTGGATCAAATGCCCTAGTAACAGCTCCGTTCTCCACTAATCTTGGTTGTATTACCTATTTCTCTGTACTATTAGAGGCCTCCACTGGAAAAACTCTGGATATTTTACAGAGTTCAGCAGGAATTAAATGTGTATCTTGAACTCTTAGCCAGTTGTAAAAAATGTGAGTGTAGCAGTAAATGGCTCAAGTCATGTCAAATATATAGGGCTAAATGTGGATATTAATTATATAACCACAGAGACTCAATTTACTTTGTAAAGCAATTAAAAGAAGACAAAAACTTACAGTCTGTTTCTGCAAAAGAGTAATGTCTTTTTAAAAATAACTTCCTACCCAGAATAGCCTGCCTGTCTCTCATAATACCAATTGCAGTGAAAAAAAACCAAACCACTTAGGCATTCACAACACTGTTTCTTTATGGAAAAATCAAGCCCAAGTCTTAAAACAATAGAAGTTGACAGTTAGGTGTCCAGATCCACATTTAGGCATGTAAACAGTCTTTGCTTTTCAAACTGGCTGAACAGGACATCAAAATTTAGGTTCCACATGTATTTATTCCCTGTGGATAAGTTAAGGCTATGAAGGAACCTGTGTTCCTGTGGACAGCTTTAATGAGGTACAGGGTTCATTTTTTTAACGTAGAGTACAGTTTAATATTGTTCTGGATTATTCTAGTAGTCTGTCTTTTTTTAAAAAAATAAAAAAAAATATTTCTTGCTTCAGAGCAGATAGGCACGGATTCCTTTCAAGCATATTAATCAGAGCTGGAGTTTGTTCCTCTACCCATAAGCAAAGTAGATCTCTATGAAAACTTCATTAACATAAAGCACCTGCTCCAGCAGGCATCCTGACAGAAAATTAGCATATTCTTGGATATTTCCTGCACTTGAGTTTTGCTTTCAGGATATTCATAATACCCTCTTCTTTATGGTGTACCCTCTGAAAATACCATTGAGCGATCTGGATCCAACTGCCAGTGAAAGCATCTTTACCTGTTCAGGCTGATAGCCACAGCATCTGTCCCTCTCTGCCTCCTATATGGACAGGATGCCAGCATCAGACATCTTCAAATACCTGCTGGTGCACCATCTTCAAAGCAGTGTAGTCGGAGAGACAGAAAGGAAAGCAACAAGACTGTCCCAGCATGACTCACAAAGTCTTTGCACTTCAATATTCACCCTTCCGTCACTTCAGAAATTGGCTTCTAGCAATGGGCTAAAAAAACTATGGTAGCTACTTTTGTCTTCAGAGTGTAGCACAGCATCAAAACTTCTGATCCATCTTTTTTTATTGGTATACTGATTTAAATATATTAGAAAGAAACAGCACGTTTAGTTGGTCTACTCCTGATAGTACTGCACCTGATTATTCCTTCTTCTGGGAGTATCATGCTTTAAGTTTTTCTATGACGTTTTCCCCTCTGCCCTGTTGTGAGTGTGTCTGTGGTGGGATTCACAAAGTTTAATGCATACAGACAGCAGGAAAAGGAGCAGAGGTTGTGTTTGTCTTGATTGTTTATTTCAAAACTATAGTGAAAAGAGCTTCAAAAACCACCTGAAAGCTGAAAGACAGCATTTGGGAGCCAGGGGCTATTACCTTTATACTTCAGTAGAATTTCTTTGCTTTTATGTCACTGTTTCTAAAGTAAAAACAAGTTGAAGGCAGGGAGAAAGAACATAGATTCTTCTGAGTGCCTTTCTCAGGTAAAATTTTACTGAAACTAGAAAGTTCATATAAACAAGGACTTCCAGACATGACAGCAAGAAACTTTTAACTCTTGTATGGCAATTTCAAAATCTTTTGGCAAGAAAGGATGGGGTTGTATGCTGAAACAATGCGTTTCCACTCTCTTAGATGAGTTTGATATGGTCTAGGTGATGTCACTGTCAAGGGTGAGCATCAAACATCAGTTACATCATTTAGTGTGTTATGCAAGCAGGGTTCTTGCTTGCATTTTCAAATGTGGCTGAGCCAGTAACATATTTACCTTCATAAAACTCCAAGAACACTTCACAATATTTATATATATGTCTTTTAAGCATCTTATTTTTGTTTAAAAGGCCTTCACTTAAAAAAATAAAAACAAACTAATAAGATACTTATAAAAGGAGAATATGTATCTGCTTTATTGCTTTAAAATTGAATTCCTTCCCAAATTCTGCACTCCTGTTCATCTGCACTTAGCATCAATAAAAGACAAGTGAAATCCTGATCCTAAGAACAGCAAATTATGTCGATACTGCATGCTTTAGTATGTTTAAGTCTAAATGCATCCTGCAGCTGTTCCAGCTGGCTTTCAGGTGAGTGCAAGCTAGCACATAGGCCAGAAGATAGCCACTCCATGCTCCAAAACTTACCCCATCTGGACAATAGAGAAAGGAAAACCATGGAGGGTAGTGCAGATTCCACCTATCTGGAAGACCACATTCCTATTAATATGAGCAAATCAAAACTAATTAGCTTCTCTGTGGCTGTCTTGACAAATTTTTAAAGGATAAAGAATTTTTAGAAAAAGCTGTTCGCTGGATAAAGGTACATGAGGGCTTCTTCATTGGCTACAGGAAACACAGCCTAGAGGCTCTCTTTTGTGCAAATGTCTGATACCCAGATATACTTTCTCTAATTTGAATTTCAGATCTGCGTGGCGCTTCACTTGTACAGTAGTCAAAACAAAAATTCTGTAGCTTTATACCACAGTACAGGGAAAAAAAAAAAAAAAGAAAAGAAAAAAAAGCATTAATACATCTATCTTCTATTCAGTTTATTTAATACTGTAGCAGTAAATACAGATAAAGAGTTCTCGAATCTGGCAATGCTAGAGCTGGCAAGATACAGCTACCCGACAGATCAACGGTCTATTAGTAGTTGCAGAATTCTATGTGCTGTAAAGCTGAAGGGTGTATATGAGTAGTCTTCAAGTTCAGCCTCATAAATATTGGCAATACAGTTAAATACACTACTACTGATATGGTAGAGCAGCATCTGCATAGAAATAAAGCAATACTGTGCCTGTCAACATTGAGAACTATATTCCAACATTTGTAGTCTCAAAACAAGTGAAATAAGGAAAAGATACTGTTTAAAAAAGTGATCTTTGATCAACACTTATTAAACGGTACGTTAGTTTTATTTTACAACAGTAAGGCTAAGATCATATAGCTTTTTAATGTTATCTTATGGGTGTGGAGATTTGAAAATCAGTATTCTGCTGTGGCTGCCAAAGTAATCTTACGAGTTTCAAATGGAGGTAAAATTTCAGAGCAGAGGCAGGCTTCAACTCAACAATTTACAAAGACTGAATCCCAGCTGTCCTCTGGAATGGGTAGGAGGCAGTAATTCACCTTTAGGTCACTTCCCTTTCATGATTTCTATGAGCACAGCACTTTAAAACACACTGGGTTAAGTCCTTATTTAGTTGTGTACAGTATGAGCTCTGAATGTCAACTGACAACATATTTAGAGCTGTCTGATGTTTATTATCCACATTTTAAAAGTGTAGCTAACATATTCCTTAGTGCTCTCTCAAGTGGCATTTCAATACCATAGCAATGACTAGTTGTAAAGACATTGGTCCTTAGGAAAAACACTCCCTAGAAGTTAGGAGCACTAGTCTTACCAACAGGCTGACTTTCAAATCCAGGCAGACACCCTAAAGAACTTGTGCTCTTTACCAGTCCACGTGCTTTTTGAGCTTCCACTCTCATCTAAAATTGAACAGGCACATCCACCTTACAGGTAAGGAAACTGTTATAATTCATGAAAACTGCTCTGTGAAAGGGATCAGCCCAAGATGTTACCATGTTACTTTACATTGGCCCTAAACGTAAAATTATTTCACTAAACAATGATATTGCCAAAACACTCCAATGCTCAGTGGCCAACATTTCACTAACATTTCAGTTCCCACCTTCCTCAACCTGCTTTACTTTCTTTCATCACTCAAAATAAAACTTAAAAAAAAAAATACTGAAACAGGAGACAATACTGCTTTATTTATCTGCTTCCCTACTTCTGGTGCCTCTGCAAGGCAGCTCTGCCAGTGAATACCTTTTGCAGATTTGGTGTCTAAGCATTTAATTCATATGAATTTCAGTAAGTGTTAGACACCTTTAGGCACATGAGGATCTGAGCCATCCTTCCTTGAGTTAAATAAAAATACATTATCATATGAAGCAGCAGCAGTATTTTGCTTTTCTTTAGTGCAGGTGTTCTTATATAAAAAACAACTACTTCTCAAAATTCTGAAGTAAGATTTTGATCAGCAAGGCTGAGTTTATTAGAAATAACTGTTTATAATTCAGTTGCACTTAGAAGCTCGCTCCAAGACCATGCTGGTGTTGAATAAATGTAGACTGAAAGTCTCCTCTGAAGAACTTATAAAGGGTGAGAGAAGCAGCTTTGTGTTTAAGTGACATTGGCCTAACACAGTGAATCTGTAGTAGAACTGGAAACAGAAGGTCAGGTTTTCTAGGTCTACACCCTGTCCACTTGACCATACTATCTCCTGCCTTTGGTTTCTACTGTCTTACTCCTCCAGACATTGATCTTTGGAGGAAAGTGACAGAGTCCCAAGAGCTGCCTGTTATTTCAGCTTGTTCCTACTTGAAGACTAACCATCTTTTACACAGATTTTCTTCTCTTTCCAAACACGTTGTTGATTAACTTGGCCATTGACTTTGATCCACTTGGTCGTCTCTTTTCCTTTGCTTTGAAATTTGAGGTGATGTTCCTCAGGACTTTCATGAACATTGCCACGACTTCCTGATAATGTTCTGCTGCCGACAGTTCACAGAATTGGCACTTGTTATCTATTGCCAGCTTCTGTCCTTCATCCCAGCCAACTTCCCTCATGTGGCATAAATCTTGTTTATTACCAACCAAAAATACTGATGTCTCAGCCATTCTGAAATCAAAAGGGTTCTGATTAGAGAAAAGAATTTACAATACTGTGCTGTATGCTGTGCTATATAGAGTCAGTATAAGAAGTATTTATGTTCAGGATAATAGGCATTGCAAAAAACCCAGAAGACTAAATTGACCCCCTAACCTTGCCAAGTAGAGTTATAGTTTTCTACTTGCTGTAGTCAAACACCAAAGGATTTTCCAGACAAGCTATTCTCTATCAGTGACTTTTCATTTTTGTTCCCCTACTCAGTGAATTCATGTATTTTTCATCCGCTACAGTCTTCATACTCTATATTGCTGCGTATATTGTCAGTTCCTGGACTTCATGAAGCAGCAAGGTGATCATTATCTCCATTTGTAGATAACAGACTAGAGTCAGAGATCTGTCAGTAGCATAATTCAGAAGAAAACAGGGGAAACCTAATTCTAAGCTTTTGCTAAAATTAGGCTTTTCAGAGAAACCTTACCTAAGAAAGTTCAGCAGTAAAACAGAGAGAAAAGTGTTGTGCTTTTTTATTACTCTACTTCTGATACAAGGAGAGGATTTCACTCTCATTTGTTTAGAAAGCACCTCAGCTGATACAAGAATACATGCCACCACATGTACCCAGATTTGCAATTTTGGTGGTTCTTTTTGAAAGTAAGTAGATGTTTCTTACCACGTGGTCACCCATGTGCACAGATAATGTTGGGGTCACCACTAATGACAGTTTAGGAGACATTCATGGTATTATATTAATTTATTGTGGTAAATGCTTTCTTCAACCCCCACATTGGTGCATCTTTATTGGTAATACAGCGGGGGAGTAAAAGCATAGACTGCCTAAGCCAGACTTACCCATGTAAATCACAGCAGACAAATTTATGGCAATTCTTTAAATAGTAGTGCTGTAAGAAATAAGAACAAAAATCCTGATGTGCTTGCCTTTGGATACAGTAAAATAGATTGCAATTTGCAACACAGTTTACCTTCAGGTACCTTATTGTACCACTTGGATCCTGCTGGATTTTAATTGCTACTGGGATGCTTACAGCTCACAGAAATGTTCTTAGATTATCTGTATGTTTGCTGAGAGAGAAAAAAAAATGCCACTTACTTTTTACAAGCTCCTATATGAGACTCTCGGATCCTGTACAGCAATGCTTTTGCAAATGCAAATGATGCTCTGTCACTGATGTCGTAAACAATGATAAATCCATCAGCCCAGTGAAGCTCGTCTGTGAGGGAGAGTTTCCCCCGCTGTGGCTGAAAGAAGTTCAAATTCACATGCAAAAAGAATGTTACTGTTGTCACTTCAGAGCATTTTCTTTGTCACTAGGAATGTGAGAATGTTTTATCTTTTATTGAAAAAGATATTAATAGGTCTAGGTGCTGGCATTGAATTATGGTGAGTCCTGCTCCAAAAGCCTAATAAATAACCATCACTACAGATGGCACTTTGGATCACTGACAAATTCATTATGAAACATTTATACTTTGTTTAAGCAGTAAAATTGTGTAACCTGTACAGCTATTGCTTATATTGAATATTCTGCAGTTACTTGAGAATGAAACATACAGGTGCCATCAATATGTGTACAGTTTCTGGTTATAGCCGATTTACATGTTCCTAATATTCTGACTACCAATATTAGCTTAACCATTTTCTTTTGTTTTTTCATTTGTTTGGTTTTTTTCTTTGCATTGTTCAAGTCTGAAACAGTATTTACCCACAGGATAAATTTCTGGAGAGCTAGAAAAAAATCTTTCAATCTGTAGTTGGCTTTAATAAAACAAGTGATTAAAGTCACTCAAGTGATGATGGGGTTATACCAATGGGTATACCTTGATAATGGGGTTATACCAATGGGGTAATACCTTGAATCCCTTCACCCCAAGAAACTGTCACACTTATGATTTCTAGAAAATAACAACTGTCCCATTAAGCTAAGGAATGTAATTTCAAAACTATTTTAAAATAATTATCTTATCCCTGAAGATAATTTGGCAGCAGCTAGCAAGACCATGTAACACAAGATAGGTAAAATACTGCAAGCTGACCAGGAACAAACAAAAATAAAAAATTGACTTCTGCTCTAGGAAAACACACCTTGAAATTAATTTAAGAACTGTTTAAAGTTTTTCTCTCACTATTTTAATATTTTGCTCCTTGCAGTGTATAATCTTCACTGACATCCCACCCTGGTTGCCTTGATTAGCTCAGCATCAGGGCAGCGCTGTAATGTCATAAAGAGCTAGACTGGGAAGGCTCTAACTCACCATGAGAAATAGTAACAGAACACCAGCAGTGAAAGGGGAAGCATGAGAAAGAAAAGATGAAACAAGTATTCAGAAGTGTCTGAAGACTCCAGTATCTTTAATGCTGTGGTGACCATGGAGCAGGTTTAGGGCCAGGAAAGGTGACTTGTATGTGTCACAGCTGTTTCCCGGATGGGTAAAGGGACAGCGAGCTTTGCAGAACAGGGATCCAGCTACTAGAGGGAAGCCTCAGAGAGCAGGAAGATTTCAGGAAGCAGAAACAAAAATGGCAACTCTTCCTTCCCCAGTCTGGCCTCCTCTTGGGACATGCTTTTCTTCCCCAGTTTCCATGGGATACAGGACCTCCATAGCCCATCCACTTCATTCTAGAATCACCAGTCTCATCAGACAAAAGCAATACCACCACTACTCACTGCCTACTCCTCTGCAGGCACTAAGAAGTCAGGAAGAAATCAGCAAACAGCTGAAGTTAGGCCTTGTTCCTAAGGAAGAACTGGTACAAAACAGCTCAGTAGTGGTGGCAGGAGGAGTTGCCCTTAACACAGATGATCTCTGGTCGCCTTAAAAGGAAAATGGTGCGCAAACTGTAGCAACCAAAGTCTCTACTTACAATGTAATCTAATCTGCTTTGACTAGCTGCCACTCCCAGTGTTTCAAGTATCTTAATAAAGAGTTGTTCACATTCCACAGGATTTTAATATGACAGTAAGTGGAAGCTATATGCAGGCTTAGGAAAGGGGTCTGAGACAGGTGGAAGCAAGTCCACAGAACAGTAGCTTCTAACAGAATGTATGGCAAGGGAGGATCCTACATGTTACATGGCACAGTAGCTATTTCAGGATCCCCATTGCCCTGGGACAAGCATTGCTGTTGCTCGTCTCTAGGAAGGTTAATTTGTTTGGTGGTTCATTTTATGTGCTCACTGAGTTAAGTTTTTACATCCTTAAATTGAAGTCCAGGTGAGACTTCCACTGCTTTGGCTTTAGCAATAGCATTCATTATCCTTGTTAGTAAGAGGCAAGATTGCTGCCCAGAAGGGAACATTGCAACCTAGGTCTGCGTGTGTTATGCAGTACTGAAGGGTCTCTATTCCTGTAAGAGCAGGAAAGAAATTAATACAAAAAACTTTATTTCAAAGTGGTTTATTGTGATCAAAGTTCAGCTGTCAACACATACAAGCCTGCATTATGGCTTTCCTTGGATCTGTTCCGTGAATGTGAGTCTTACTTCCAGGCCTGTCTACTTTGACCATTTCTGCAGGCATTCAATAAACTGCTTGCATTATAAACTAAATTTCATGCATTTAGGGTATTTGAGAAAACTGCATATAAGACAGAAGTGGGAAAAGTTATTTCTGTTGGTAACATTCCAACATGAAAAAGCATTTACAGAAAACTTAAGCAATGAAGGGCTCCTTCCATGAAATGGGAAAATACTCAGCAGTTCTGAGCCACACCAAGTATGAAATTTCAGTCTTTTCAAAAAAGACCAACAAGCACAAATTCCAGGAACAAGACAAAAAGTTTGTGACCCCCAACCCATTTTACCATTACACAGGCAGAATGAAGAACAGCCTTTCTTTGACCCCTAAAATTCTTACCTGTGAACAAGGGTCATAAATTTCCAAGTGTATCTGCCTCCCATCCAGGCATAAATGTTTAGTGTAGATGCATTCTAAAAGATACATGTTATCCAAAGAAAACCAGCATTAGTGACTGGGGATGGCGGTGAAAAGAAAAGGTGGCAAAGACAAGATTGGTTAATACTAAGGGTTCCTTGAGTACTGTTTTGTTTTTTCAAGGTGTTTTTTTTTGTGTTGTTTTTTTAGACTGGTAGGGGGTGTTGGTGGGTTTTTGATTTGTGGAGTTGGGTGGTTTATTTTGGCATTTTTTTGTTTGTGGTGTTTTTGCATGTGTTGGGGTTGTTTTGGTGGTGTTTTTTGGGGGGGGAATTTTGTGGGGTTTTTTGTTTTTTTGGTGGGTTGTTTTTGTTTGGTTTTTTTGTTGCCTTCTTTAACGTACTGGAAACAAGCCTATTTCATTTTCTAACACCTGAGCTACCCAACCTTAGCCTGACCAACACCATTACACCGTGGTGTTCCCATGAAAGTCTTGGTGCAATGAATTTTAGACCCCAGTTTTCCTCTTCCAAAATGGAAACAAAGGTAATGCACAATGCTCAGAATCAGCTAAATGCTGCTGACTACTCAGCTTGATACCAAGGCTTAGGACTATGAAAGTAGTAAACCAGCCTATATGTGAGTTCTAATTCTGCACAAAAGCCATTATTTGATAATAATGGTTATGTACTATGAAATCTGCTGTTTTAAGACTTCTCATACTAAGTAGCATTAGACCAATAGTATTTACAGGGTCATATCCTTAGACTAGATCCTAAAGTATTTCTGTAACATCAGTTTTCAGATTTAGGACTCTTCACTAGCACTAGCAACCCTGGAAACTCTACTGCAGACAGACCATCACTATTATTTTAAGCAGCAGGTTGTTCTAAAGTATAAGCAACTTGTGCTCATGGCACTAGTAGTCAACAGGCTGTCTTACAGTATAATTTCTTTGAGTTACTGAACTACAGAGACAAGAACTGGTGTTGGCACTACTGAAAATACACTTCAAACTGTGTGTAATGAGGACATAGATAAGGTCTGTGATCTCTGGAAGCAGGCATCTTCAGTTCAGCACCATGTTAATCTTAAGTATTTTCCATGCACATCTTAAAAGTTAATCTGATGAACCAATCCCAAGCACCTCAGGGTATAAAATCTGCAGCCCCTTGGTGGTTTACATAATTAAACAAATTTTTAATTAATACTTTGACTCCACTAATAGTAGGATGATCTTTATTTTATCACATATATTCCCCCTTTCCTTCCCCTTCCTTCTCTCTAGAAACAGAGCTAAACATCTTCCAACAAACATTCATTAACAAATTAAAGTGTTCTGAGGGTTTGACATGCCTTTTCTGAAACTTGCAGTACTGGAGGCTCAGAACAAGGAAACCTGTTTTAAATTGTAGGCAGTTTAGAACACACATGGAACACAGAGCACTACATAACTTACATGTGACAGTTTAGATCTAGATAAGCCATATGTGACACAAACTGTCTTTTCATCCTGTGTTTGTATAGTAACAAGCATTGGTAGAGGATTTATGTACAGCTGTAACTATTTTCAGAATAAGTTCATTTGGATATATTGAATGCAATTTGGCTTAGTACTTCTATTTTATTTTTTATTTACAGAAATTGTGGGAAGCTACTGATTTTTGTAAAAAACCGTTTTTGTAAAGAGTCCTTCATTTTAGCAGGGAAAGCGAGGTAGATAGCAATCTCTGTCCCTTGTTAAGTTTTGATACTTGTCCCACAAGCTGGAGCAGCACACTTCCAAAGGTGTTAGTGTATCATTTAAACGGTGTTTCTACCCAGGATGTGAAAGTTCAAGTTCTGCTTTGCCATCTTCCAGGATCTTAAAAGTGTCTTAAGGATCAGCATATTTGTTCTGGCATGAATGAGAAATTCTATCCTCAGTACAGAGAGGCTTTTCCACAAAGCTATCAAACCAGTACATTCCTGCAAAAGCAGGGGGCTTTGCATTATGCTTTGATTAGCCAGTAGCTGCTGATAAACAATCTGTTTCACCTCTCCTCTACAGCTGAGAACGAGATATTCAGCAGTTGGGTTTTTTGGTTTGCTGTTTGGGTCTCTTTTTCAGTCTATTTCTTTATCTCCTCTCTGATTGAGCTTACTATAATCTACCCACGCTTCGCACATGCAGCCCGGTTATCTTTCCTTCCTAAGTCTCTTCACAGTTGCTTTGCGACGAGCACTTCGCCAGCCCCCGTGCCCGGGTGCGCTACGGCAGCAGTGATCTCTCCGCAGATAGCTGCCTTGCCCTTTCCCGTCTTCAGAGCTCGTATTTAATCAGGAACACTCGCCGATAAGCAAGCGAAAACTTAAATCTGTCTGAAAAGTTCCGTGAAACTGCGCTCCTACCCCACTTGTTCAAATAAGCGTCTGAAGCGCCGCACCCCGGGTTCCGCGGGCACTCGCCGCGCCTCGCCCCGAGGAGGCCC